AGCGATGGCATTGGGTGGGCATGCAGCGACTGATCTCTGGACCAAGGGGTCTGCCCTGGGGAATCCGAGAAGGGTTTGTTTTAGCTAAAAGGTAAAGAATAGACTAGAAAGGGGCACAGGGGGAGCAGGGTTGATGTGAGGGGCCAGGTAGGATGTGGTAGCCTAGCTTGGGGGCAGTAGTGGGGGTGGAGGGGGGTGTAAGGATGAAATGTGGGTGAGCACCCACGGGTTGAGCTTTGTATCGGGAAGGATGGGCCTGCAATGAGGGTGCTATTGAGAGCTGTGCTGTTTGCAGGACTGGTGACCCGGCACCACCCCTCACCCACCCCGCTTTGTGAAATCCCTGCAGCCATCTCTCCCCACCCTGCTCAGCCCTATGCTGTTGGGTTTAGCATTGGGGGCAGGTCCCTGCTGAGGGAAAGGGGCTGGTTTGGGTCCAACACTGAACTTGAACGTGACCCTTGCCAGGAGCTGCGTGGGTGGTGCCTCATGCTTTCAGATGGCCCTTTGCCATCTTTGGTTCAGGTTAATCACCTGAGGTTCCGCAGATCCCGGGGAGCTGGGTCATCTAAGGTCTAGTCCCTCCCTCCTTGCATCCCTAGTGATTAAAGAAATGGAGGGAGAGTCTTCTGGTCTTGATCTCCCCAATGGACGAAGGGTGGATCCTTGACAAAGAGCTTGGGGCCCCATGGTAGAGACATCACAGGCGGGATCCTCACTTAAGAGACGCCTGACAAGGACTGGAGTCTGGGGAGCTGGTTCTGGGAATCCCAGCAGCCCCACCCCAATTCTGATTCAGAAAGTGAGCTGGGACGCCCACATACGTTGAGGTGCCAGGCAGCATCTCCCTGGGGCCTGTCCTGTCTTCTCCCTCCTCTGAAGACTGTGACTCAGTTTGAAGTGTCCACTGATTTCACAGAGATTGAGGTCAGACAGCAGGAAGAACTTGCAGCATGTCTCCAGACTAGCTGTTCAGAGGAGCCAAGTCCTGGGCTCGGTCTCTTTCCTGCACAGCTTTGTCCAGTCGCCTGCGCACCTCCACACACTTAAATGTGGCCCCGTTTGCTCCGGCAGCATCCTGGTTGGGAGGGGTGTGGCCAGTGGGGAGACGTTACTGTCCTTCAGAAGAAAAGATCTCTTTCTCTCTCAAGTTTCAGGGACTGTGTGTGGCCCCTTGAACTCCAAACAGATTTGCAAAAAGCACTCCCCTAACCTGGGAACCTGTGGGTGAAGAGGGCGGGGTTATAAAATTGATTGCTGGCTCACGTCAGATTATTTCATTTGGGTGGGAGCCGGGGCTTGAATAACAGCCCACAGGCAGATGGGCTTTTGTGCTCTGAGGCCGCCCGGGTTAACCCTGTCCTGCTCTTCTCTCCTTGCAGCCCTGTGAGCTCTTCCTTGTCGCCCCCTCCACCTGCCGGCCTTCACATCTGACTCCAGCCCTGCCTGCCACCTCCGAGGCCCTGCCTCCCTCCCCGTCGGGCACCATGCCCATCCTCAAGCAGCTGGTGTCCAGCTCGGTGCACTCCAAGCGCCGTTCCCGCGTGGACCTCACGGCCGAGATGATCAGCGCCCCGCTGGGCGACTTCCGCCACACCATGCACGTGGGCCGAGCGGGAGACGCCTTTGGGGACACCTCCTTCCTCAACAGCAAGGCCGGTGAGCTAGACGGCGAGTCCCTGGATGAGCAGGCGGCCACCTCGTCCTCCAAACGCAGCCTCCTGTCCCGGAAGTTCCGCGGCAGCAAGCGGTCGCAGTCGGTGACCAGGGGGGACCGGGAGCAGAGGGACATGCTGGGCTCCCTGCGGGACTCGGCGCTGTTTGTCAAGAACGCCATGTCCCTGCCCCAGCTGAACGAGAAGGAGGCCGCGGAGAAGGGCTCCGGCAAGCTGCCCAAGAGCCTGTCGTCCAGCCCGGTGAAGAAGGCGAGTGCCGGGGACGGGGACCAGGAGGCGGCCCGTGTGGAGGGGGTGCCCCGACGGAACGGGGCCGCCGCTCCCCACTCCCCCGACCCCCTCCTCGACGAGCAGGCCTTTGGGGACCTGACAGATCTGCCCGTCGTGCCCAAGGCCAGCTTTGGGATGAAGCACGCGGAGTCCATCATGTCCTTCCACATTGACCTGGGGCCCTCCATGCTGGGCGATGTCCTGAGCATCATGGACAAGGAGGAGTGGGAGCCCGAGGAAGAGAACGGGGGCTACCATGGCGACGAGGACCCGGGCAGTCTCCCCAAGGCCCCCCCTCCTGGGTCGGTGGCCTCCCTCCCGGCCAGGCAGGAAGGCAGAGCTGGCCGGGACTCGCCCCCGGTGGCCCGGGCTCCGCAGGACGAGGGGTGGGCTGCGGCCGCCCCCAGCCCCGGCTCCGCCCGCAGCATGGGCAGCCACACCACGCGGGACAGCAGCTCCCTGTCCAGCTGCACCTCGGGCGTCCTGGAGGAGCGCAGCCCTGCCTTCCGGGGGCCGGACAGGGCCCGGGCCGCTCTCCCCAGGCAGCCCGACCAGGAGCTCTCGTTCATGGATGAGGAAGACGAGGAGATCCGCGTGTGAGGCCGCGGGAGGCGCGCTCCGCGCTTGGCATAGCCTCCCCCCAGCCCGCCGCCACCCTCCCCTTCCCCGTCCCCGTCGGGCAGCCAGGAGCCTGGCTTCTGCCACCTCCCCTGGACCTCATGGACAAGGGGCATGGCCGAGCCCGGGACCCACGGAGGACTCGGGGAGCTGGCTGGGGCCCCCCGGGTGCCTGACCGCCGCACGCCCTGGCCTCCCCGAGCCCTGCGGACGGCCGTGTTCTTACAGCAGAATCCAGCGCCTCCCTCCGCCTTGGCCTCAGCTGGGCGCCGGATGGCAGCCTGAGCTCCTGCCCCAGTGAGGTCAGCGCAGGGGCGGCCTTGGTGCCAGGCGCCGGGGCCAAGGACAGCAGCGCTCGGTCCCTGTCCTGGAATCACTGACCCAGCAGTGACTTCCCCCGGTAAATGTGTGTCACCGGAGGAATGGGAGGGCACGTGTGCCGGCCCCTCCCTCCCCGGCCCGGCTTCCACACGGGAAGCCAGGAGCCCCTCGGAGTAAAGCTGGACCGAACGTGGACACTGGACACGGCCCCTCCCGGGGGGAGAGGACGGGAGTGGGGAGTGGGAGGGAGGCCCCTGGTCTTCTTGAACTCTTCGGAGGGGCCCTGGCCGGATGACACTAGGAACAGACTGTAGCAGCCGCTCAGCCCGGGTTCGTTCGTTCTCAGTATGTTTAAATCGGTCTAGAGCAGTGTCAGGAACAGCGTTAGTCGATCCGCCACCAGAGGGAACATCGACTCCATTTAGACACCTTTATACTAAGTGCTTCCAGACTTTATTTAGAATTGTATGGGGTGGGTATGTGCGTGTCTGTCCCCCCTCCACCCATAACTATTACCAGCTGAAGGCGTCCCGTGTAGAATATTTCTGAAAAGTGACTTTTTAAAGTAATATATCATTCCTATGGGGGATAAAAGTTTTTTTTGGGACTGAGTTATTCCCTCACTCCCCCCCCCACTTCCTTTCCCAGGCCTCTCTGCCAGCTCGGCCCACTCCCTGGCTTCTGAGGCAAGGGCCCTGAGGGCGTAGGTACAGGGTTGCCAGATTTAACAACAAGACAAAAGGGTAATTTCTCCGTATAAGTATGTCCCCGTGTCACACGTGGAGCATACCTGTATTAAAAAGTTACTTGTCCTTCTGAAATTCAAATTCCGACTATGGCCGCTGACCCTGCCCACGGGGATTGCGTAGGAGGCTGAGTGAGCCCCAGCGTGAACTGACGGTCGCTCTTCTGTCCTGGGAACGGGCTGACCCACCTCCTGTCCTCCTGCCGCCCGTGGGGTGGGGCTGGCGACCGCGGATCCAGCCAGGGCGGTGGGCGTGGCCGAGCCCGCCTCCCATTTTCTGCCAGATCCTGACTCAGACACTAACTTAGTTCCTGAGCCGAGCACCCCGTGGGTGCTCGGTTTCCAGTAGCTGCCCTTGAAACCCATCCAGACGGCGGTCGGCTCCAGATTCTGAACTGTATATTTTTTTCATGAAATTGTTAAAATGACGAGGCAACATTAAAAAAGCCCTATAGCGTGTCTGGTGTTCATCTCTGCTTCTGGGAAGGGTTGTTTCAGGATGTGGGTGGGGCGGGGTGAGGGTGCCCCATCGGGGGCCTGAGGTGGCTTCCCTCGGTCCCTTTGGGGCTCTGGGAGTTTGATGTCCCAGCTGCCACTTAGCTGCTTGTGCCACATTGTCCTCACCTGTTACGTGGGGATCCTGCTGCCCCCTCAGGGCTGGGCTGCAGACACAGTCCCTGGCATGGTATTTGCAAAGTTGTTATTAACGGAGGGAGGCTGTGCTCTCGCAAGCCCCAGGTGCCCACGATGCGCGTGGGATGTTTCACCACCAGGACACAGCAAGTGCCTTTCACCATTTGACCTGGAAAATCAGCTTACAGGCGGTGGCATGTTCTTGTTCAGCCTTGCGGCCCAGCGAGGTAGACTCTGGTGTCCCCATTTTATGCGCAGAGAGGCCACGTGGCCACTTTCTCCAAATCACCAAGTAATAGAGTCAGAGCATGACTGGTTCAAAATGCTTTCGCCTCATCAAGGGTGCCTGGGAGTTCCATTACTCAGGAAAGTGAGGCCAGGGGTGTGTCTGCCCTGGGTGGGGACCTGGTGGCTTCCCCGCCCATCTCCTGCCTCACCACCTTCCCTTCCTAACGCCTACTTTGCCCTCGGCCGTGGCATCTTTGAGAAGGGGACATCAGCCAGGGCAGGGCCTGCTCTAGCTGAAGCCCCTCGCATGCCCTCCCATCCATATGGGGCCCAGCGAGGCTGAGTCCCTGGAAACCCTGCTCCTTTCCCCAGCATCGCAGAGAAATTTGGGCTGCACTCATAGTCATCCTGGGGAGCAATCAGGAGCGTAATTAAAATATTCCTCTGTCCCTGGACCGGCTCATTAAAGCAAATGAGGGGCGTAGCTAAGGCGAGTTAGGAATAGCTGGTGTGGTGGCCCCAGGGGAGCGGGGCACACATCCCCAGCCCAGTAGGAGCCAAGGGCCCCTGGGGGCTGCAGTCTAGCTCTAGGTCATTGCACAGAAGAATGCAGAGTTGAGGAGGCCCAGGCAGGTGAGGGGGAAACACCTAAGCGGGGGCTGTGCTCAGACAGTGTAAACCCCATATTCCACCAACAACCCCTGATTTTTGAGGGTCTGGGAGAAGCCAGCTAGCTACCTGAGCCCCAGACTGCTCTTGGACTTGATGGAGAAGTAGCTGCAAACCATCCGGGAAAACCCAGGGGCCTGTAGAGGGATCCAGCTGGACCCACACCTTTAGCAGCATGAATTTGGTTGGGGGCTCAGCAGACCCACTGGACAAGCATGGGGTAACCAGGCAGGATGAGCCCAGCTATACCAGCTCTAATCTCAGTTTGCTGTGTGGCCTCAGGCCAGTTATTTTCCCTCTCTGGGCAGTTTCTGTTTCTCCATCTTTAAAATATGGCATTAGCTCAGTTGTTTTCGACTTTTTACCAGAAGTTTTATTTGCAACAAGGTATGCAGAACCCCTATACATAGCAGGCTGGGCAGACCAGCGCTCCGGCTGGGCCTCTGCCTCCCAAGCCTGCAGCCTCGGGCCTGTGTCCCTGCCGGTGCCCAGGCTGGTCCCACAAGGTGCTCACCTTCGACTGCATTCTCACACACACCCATCCACCCCCTCCTCCTCCCGGGGTTCGCCATGTCCCCAGAAGAAAGTGGACAAAAGGAATAGAGGCTGTCGGAACACACAAAGGCTCTTCAAATTTCAGGGTCCGGTTCACCACCTCCCCCACCTCCATGATACAGAGACTGGAGGAAGAAGGCACTGGCCAAAGCCCTGCGAGTGGAGCCCAGCAGAGATTGCGAAAGGGAGGGACTGGGCTGGCGCTGAGCCGGCGGACAGTATGGGGCACAGCTGCTCACGGCCGGGGGTGTGGTGGTTGTCAGGATGGCCAGTGGGGCGGGGGTGGGTGGGGTGACCTTTTCAGGTGTAGGCTGCACATCCCATCCCTCCCTGGCTCACCCTGGCCTCACGCACAGCTTCCCGAAGTTCCTGGCTTCCTCCACAGACCCTGAGTAAAGATGCAGAAAAGGAAAGTTAGGAGTAAAAACGGGGGACTTTGTCTGCTTTCCCTTTGCAGGCTCCTCTAGGCCCCGTGGCCTCCCGCCAGCAGCCAGATGGGAGGCTGGAAAGAACATTTTGAGGAGGGGGAAGGTATTTGTAGGCAGATGGATGTTGGTGGCTTTGCCTTTAAAACCTGTTGCTCTAACTCACCGAGCTGTTGTCCAAGACGAGACTCCCAGGAGGGGACAGGAGGAGCCAAGGAGAGAGGCCTTCCCGCAGGACTCCAATCCTGAAATGACTTTTGGCATGTTAAAAAGTACCCCTCAAGGCCACAGGGCTCTGCTGAATTTTGCTTTGTTTTCATGCCCTGCTTTGTTCCAAAAAGGATCAGAGGCAGCTTATACGCAAATTACAATACGATAAAAATAGATCCGGGGGAAAACAAGGCTGGAACAAACATGCCACGAGCTAAGAGCAGTGTGCAGAGCTGTTAGCAGGCTGGGCCTGCACACTTCTCAAAGGTGGGCTGAAAACTGGGCTCTGAGCTTCCTGTCAGTCAAAGCAAAAAGGGAAAGCTACCTGTTAGGAGACTCTCAAGGTCCACAAAGTTGAAACGGTCCCAGAAGCAACTAACTCAGCTTCTTCTGACACTGGGGTCTGAGAGGGATTCTTGTGAGAACTTTGGAGGGGGCAGGGCTGGGGTTCCAGGCAATGACCTCAACAAGAGTGTGGTAACAGATACAGTCATGCAAACCCCATAAGGCTGCTTTTCCACTCAGTATGAATTGAAAGCCTGAGGCCAAGACACGGATCAATAAAACCAACTCTCTGGAGGGTCAGACCCAAGCCATCCAACCCATTCACCCAAGACATACCACTGAGACCCTCCCACAGCAGGATTTCTCAGCCTCAGCACTATCAGCACTTGGAGCCCATCATTCTGTTGTTGGGAACTGTCCCCAGCAGCATCCCTGGCCTCTACCCACTGGATGCCAGCAGCTTCCTAGCAACCAGCTATGTCACTCCAACACATTCCCAGACATTGCCAAGTGTCCCATGGGCTGCTGAAAAACCACTGCTCTTACAGGAATGATGAGATGCCTTTTTTTTTTATTTTTACCATAAGAGCCAACTTAAGACAAAAATGTTTTCTCAGAAGAAAGTAGACAAAAGGAATAGAGGGTGTCCCCCCCCCCAAAAAAAAGCTTATGAAATCCCATAGGGGAAAATGTATCTTGCATCTTAAATTACCTACTTTATTGAGAAAACTTCTTTTTAGCCAGTAGCATTGTAACGATGAGGGTGTTATTTGAGAAACAGCCACACAGAGGCACTTTCTTATTTCTCATGCTGGAGTTAGAACGAGGGATGTGCTGAGAAGCTGGCCCGGCCCGTGGTCTGCTGTCTGCGAATGGATCTAAGGCGGCGGGTGGCCTGTGCCATCTCCCCGCTGTCCTGGAAGATGACGCCGCCTCACTGTCAATTCCTGCACCCAAGGCTCCTCCCGCCTCCAGCCAAACCAGAGCTGGAAGCTGTATTCTCTGAAAACGGACCTGCGGCACAGACTCATTTATTCATCAGATATTATTGAGCACCTACTGTGTGCCAAGCGCTCTCAGAGGCCCTGGGGGAGCAGGCAGGGTGAGAGTGCACAGGACAGCAGACAAGACAGACACGGCCCTGGGGTGACCTGTGACTTCCATGGGCCCCTTCCTCCATAAAAGTCACTAAAATGGTATTATATGACTATGTCAGAAAAAAGGCTGGATGAATTAATGTTATATAATCAAACTTTTTGTTCGACCTGAAGGTTCATGTATTTAATTCGGATTTTAAAGAAACTAAGACATTTTTCATGGGCCTGCTGGGCCTGATGGAGAGGCCACATGGGCCCTGCCCCCAAGGGCTGGGGGTGAGGTGGGGATGCCGGGAACAGACAGACCGTCAACAGGCAAGACAATAAATGGACACGTCCTATACCGCGGGGAGGCCTTCGGAGGACGTGAACCAGAGGGTGTTGGACAGAGAATGCCAGGATTTCCCCCTAGAGAGGCCAGGGGGAGGGTCCTCCCTGAGGAAGTGGGGTTCAGACCAGATCAAAGAAGGAGGATCTGCGAGGGGACGAGCAGGGACCAGCAGTTTGGGGAATCGAGGACACCCGCAGCTCCGGCCCAAGTATCTGGGTGGTGGTAACATTCTGAGAGGGCAAGACAGAGAAGGTGGCACCGATGTCTGGGAAGCTGGAGTTTGGTCTCAGACATATTCAAGTAGAAATGGCAAGAAGACAGGTGTCTGTGAGGCGGGTGCTATGGACTGAAGGTTTGTGCCCCCCCCAAATCCATATGTTGACACCCCTAACGCTCCATGTGATGGCATCAGCAGGCGGGGCTTCGAGGCGGTGACTGGGGTGAGATGTGATCAGGAGGGTGGGCCCCGTGATGGGAGCGGTGTCCTTATAAGAGGAGGAAGAGACCAGCCATCTCTGTCCACCACGGGAGGACACGGCCAGCCAGGAAGGGGCCCTCGCAGGGCACGGAATCTGCCAGCGCCTGAGCTTGGGCGCACGGCCTTGGGAAAGGTGCCAGTGGCCTGGTCTGTGGTCTGTCACAGCTGCCCAGCCGACTGAGACGGGGGCAGCGCCCCGCGTGTCAGCAGCCGCACATCTGGGTCAGAATGGTGGCCCGGATGGAATTCAAAGGGAGGCCAAGGAGTGAGACCAAGGGCAGCTCTATGGTTTCGATGAACACAGGAGGGAAGGGCAGGACTGTGAGCGTCCCCCTGGGCCCTGCCAGCTCTCCCCCCAGCCCCCAGCCCCGGGTGGTTTATCTAGGCTGGGAACCAGGAGGAGCTGCCCTCAGCCTGCCCACCACAAGCCACCAGGCTTCGAACAGAGTGGGCACCATTGACTCCTTGTCGATCACCAAGGCCAGGAGGGTTTTTCCATCTGTACTCTGGCCGCCTCCTGACCCGAGAATCATTTAGAGATAACAGAC